TCTTGTGGCTGGCTCTACAAAGTAATAGGGGCAGCAAATTTGAATCTCTTTTAGAAGAAATATATTTGAAATATAACATCATTCACCAAATGACTGCCCTTTACTCACCGCAATCTAATGGAATTGCGCAAAGAAATAATATAACGTTAAAGGAGATGATGATGTCTTGCTAATAAGTTCTGGTTTACCCCAGAACTTATGGGGGCTAAGTTATTCTTACAGCTAACCGAATACTCAGTCGAGTTTCCTAGAGCAAGACGTAATCCATTCCATATGAGAAATGGAATGGAATAAAGCCCAACTTAAATATTTAAAGTGTGGGGGTGCTTAGCTAAAGTGTAAGTTCCTAAAACCAAAAGGGTAAAGATCGAACCAGAATGTCTTGCTAATAAGTTCTGGTTTACCCTAGAACTTATGGGGGGAAAGTTATTCTTACAGTTAACCGAATACTCAGTCGAGTTCCCCAGAGCAAGACGTAATCCATTCCATATGAGAAATGGAATGGAATAAAGCCCAACTTAAATATTTAAAGTGTGGGGGTGCTTAGCTAAAGTGCAAGTTCCTAAAACCAAAAGGGTAAAGATCGAACCAGAAATTATTGATTGCATTTTCATAGGATATGCAACCTATAGTAAAGCATATCGATTTCTTGTTCATAAATCAGAAAATCCCGATATTCATAATAATATGGATATAGAGTCAGATAATACTGAATTTTTAGAAATATATATATATATATATATTCTTATAAAAGAAAATGTGAGTCGATTGGTGAAGGATCAAAACGACCTCGGGAAGAAATAAAAGAAAGTACATTTAATAAGGAGGATCTAAGACGTAGTAAATGTCAAAGGACAACTACTTCCATTGGATAAGATTTTATGACATTTCTTGTTAGAAAATGAGCTTCAAACTTTGGAAGAAGTTATGTCTTCTCCAGAAAGAAGCAGTCAATAGTGAGACAGAATCCATATCAAGTAATCATACTTGGAAATTGGTTGATATTCCTCCAGAAAATAGACCATTGGATTCTAAGTGGATTTTCAAAAGGGAAATATAAGTTGATGGCACTATTAAAAAATATAAGGCGAGATTAGTTGTCAAAAAGTTTAGAAAACGACAAGGTTAATTATTTTGATATATACTCGCCGGTAACGAGGATTACATCTATTCGGATGTTAATAGCGTTAGCCGCCGTGTATGACCTTGAAATCCATCAGATGGACGTAAAGATAACCTTCTGAAATGGAGATTTGGAGGAAGAAATTTATATGGAACAACCTAAAGGGTTCATGGTTCCTAGAAAAAGAAAGAAGGTGTATCGACTTGTTAAGCCACTCTATGGACTAAAACAAGCATCCAAACAATGGCATGCGAAATTTGACTAGAAAATGTTGTCAAATGGTTTCAAACTAATGTATTTACATTAAGAATACTTTTAATTATGTAGGCATTGTTTGGTTATATATGGATTATATGTTGATAGAAAAGGCACATGAAACATGTGAAATGTGGGGGCATTTAGCTTATGCATAACAAAAGCTAATATTAGACGTGATGTACATATTGTTTAGAAGAACTAAATGATATGATTCTTCGAAACCCACGAATCCTTAAGGATATTGATATGATAGTTGGTGAATTCATTACTTGTTCAGTCTTAGTGATGACTAGTGATGAAACTACAAATTCGAAAGTTGTTTACATGCCTTTACAAAAATGATTTGTTCTTTCTTGAACATTTATAATGTTTAGCTCTTTTATGAAAGGTGTCACCTGGAAGGTTGCGACTTTTCATGAAAAGTGCGTTTGTATATTTTGTATAAACATGACCGTTCATGAACGAACGTATCAATACGGTGAACCAACAGATGAACATGATCAAAGTCTATTGCAAGTTGGATTTGTCTCATGAATGCAGGTGCTATAATTTGCATATCATATACACGTATGAATAAATAGCATACAGATGCTTGAAAATGGCGGAATGATTGCAAAATGTGTTATATATTAAAACGTTGTGGCTACAACTGATGTCAATCATTCCAGCTGTTGTTATAATATACTATTACTATATTAAGTATAGTCAATATTCTGAAATGCAATCGAAAGTCGAGACGTATTAGTCCACGACATAAGAAAGTTTACATTGAACTTTCATGACAATGAAACAAGTTTTGAAGTATTTGAGATATACTCCAAATTATGCTTTACACTACAATAAATATCCCGCAATAATAGAGGGGTATAGTGATGCATATTAGATCACCGGTTCAACCGATCCTAAACAGTCAGTGGAGGAGCGATGTCTTGGAGATCGTCCAAAAAAATGTGCATTGACCGCTCTATATTGGAGGCTGAGTTATAGCCTTAGACAAGGCCGCTGAAGATGCTGAATGGCTCCAAAATTTCTTGGAAGATATTTCATTTTGGCCCAAACCTTTGGCACCTATATTTATACATTGTGATAGTCAAGCGGCAATAGGCAGGGCAGGGAGCGTTATGTATAACGCAAAATCTCGTCACATTCGACGGAGATACAATATCGTTAGACAACTACTTTCTAGTGGTGTTATCATGATTGACTATGTAAAGTCAAGAGATAACATGTCGGATCCACTTACAAAAGGCCTATCTAGGGAGGCAATTGAAAGATCATCGAAGGGAATTGGACTAAGGCCTAGGACAAGTCCTCATGGCGGTAACTCTACCTAGCAGACTGGAGATTCCAAGAGTGTGATGACCCAAAAGGCCATCTTGTGTTTAAGAACTCGATTCTATGTTTTGAGGCCTTTAAAACCTTATTTTATTTCTCCTCGATTTGTGTGCGCAGTCCGGACGTGTTACCGGAAAACTTTTATATTGAAAGTTGATAAAAATAAGGATTTTTTCTTAAAAACTTCATTTTAGTTGATTTCAGTAAATATTTTTGGTAAACAAACCCGTATTCATATTTTGATAGTCCTGGTGGATCCGTATCAAAATATGGGACCTGGGCGTATGTCCGGAATCGGATTCGGAGGTCCCTAGCCCGAGTTATGAATTTTTGATAAAAATTGAAAGTCTGCAAAATTAAGTGGTTTTTAAGAAATTATTAATGTTTTATCTTGTTGGTATTGGGTCCGTATCTTGGTTTCGTAGCCCGGTCAGGTTCAATTTAATATTTAAGACATGTCTGTGAAATTTTGTGAGAAACGGAGTTGGTTTGATATGATTCGGACGTCCTGTTGTGAAAATAGGAATTTCAAAGTGTTCTTGAGAATTTTATTTGATTTGGTGCTAAATTCATGATTCAAAGTGTTATTTTGGCGATTTGATCGCATGAGCAATTTCGTATGATGTTCTAAGACCTGTGTGCATGTTTGGTTTGGAGCCCCGAGGGCTCGGGTGAGTTTCGGATAGGCTACGGAGAGTTCTGAACTTAGAAATTTGCTGGTGTGCTTCAGCTCTTGTTGCAGAGCCTCTGATCTCGCAATTGCGAGATCAAGACTCGCATTTGCGACCACTGTTGGGTTCGCGTTTGCGACCTACTCATCGCATTTGCGAAGAGTAGCTGTGGAGGCCAATGTTCGCAATTGCAAATAATTCACCGCAATTGCGATGGGAACTGGGGAGGGGTGTTCTTCGCATGTGCGATCACATGGTCGCAAATGCGGTCTTGCCCATGTTCGCATTTGCGAAATATTACTCGCATTTGCGAACAATGCAGAGGTGAGAAGGGGTTCGCATTTGCGATGACTCCTTTGCATTTGCGGATCGCATTTGCGACATTTGCAGCTGGGTAAATGAGACTTGGACGGGATTTTTCATTCATTCTTCAAATTTTCAAGTCGGTGAACCCTAGAGGTGATTCTTCCAAGACCAATTTATCCCAAGACTTTGGTAAGTGACCCTAACCCACTTTCTTTCAATTTCCCATTACATTTCATGAATTTCCAACCTAAAATCTAAGATTTTCATGGTAGAATTTGGGATTTTTGGGTAGAGACTAGGGATTTGGAAAATTGGGGATTTAGACCTCGAATTGAGGTCGGATTCCAAAATCAATTATATATCCGGGCTCAGGGGTAAATGGGTATATTGATTTTGGTCCGAACCTCGGGTTTTGACCAAGCGGGCCCGGGGTCAGTTTTTGACTTTTTGGGGGAAGTTTGGGAAATCCAAATTTATGCATTGTAGTTGATTCCTCTAGTGATAATTGATGTTATTGAGTTGATTGTGGCTAGATACGAGTGGTTTGGAGGTGGATACTGGAGGAAAAGCGCTAATTGAGCATTGAGTGGCCCGCAGAGCGAGGTAAGTGTTGTGTCTAACTTTGACTCGAGGGATTAGGGACCCTTGATTTATTTGTGTGAAATCTATGTGAGCGGCGTATATGTGAGGTGAAGAGTACCTATGCGCCGCTAATTTATCTGTTTTGCCTGTTTCCTTCCCGTTCTCCTTATATTGTCTCTTCCTACCTTAACTGCTACATGCTTTACTTGTATTTCTATGTCTGATCGCTACTTGTTAGACCTTGTTTCTCTTTGTTAAAAGTGTTAGTCCTTTCGTAGCTTCGTTGCCTCCTATTAATTACTTAAGTTGTTTATTGGTACTTTCAAGGCATATTTTTCTGGATTGGTCTCGTTGTGTAGTATTATTCGTGCAGATTCTATATTGAACGAGATTTCTTTTTCTTGGTTCAGTTTGGTAATTATTTATCGTAAAGGCTGTTACGCCCCGCATATTACGTCGATATTGTGCTCTGCAGTAATACATTACGATAATGTTACCCTCTGCAATAATATATTACGATGATGTTATGCCTTGCAGTATTACATTACGATGATGTTGCGCTTCGCAGTATTTTCTATATACTATATAGAAGAGCCCTAAAGCAAGCAGGAGACCGTCGACATCCCTGCTTGGCGGGGCAACTTGGTCTTTTCTCAGTTTTATGCTGGGTAGAATTTCTATTGTGCCCCCGTGTTTTCTGATTTATATGTTTAGAGAAAGCCTAAATAGGTAATTTCGCTTTACCTTTGATGGGAATGACGGCCACCGCTTGGCTTTAGGAAAACTTTGCGCTGCTTCTCTGCCTTCCCTTTGTTTAGAATTGCCATCGCTTCTCCTTCTTCATCATTTGATCCGCCATCCTTATGACTTTAAAGACTTTGTGTTCATTAACGGAAGATCGATTTTCTAAAATAAAAAATGATACTGTAACAGAAAATTGGGGGTTTTGCTGAGTTTCTTCACACTTCCTGCTCCATTAAGATCATAGTAAAAAGGTTAGTTTTACTGCTCTATTTTATTCCATTTCTATGTGTTTTGTGATTGTTTTGTTTCAGGGGTCTTGTTAGTTGTTGCTTTGTGGTTCGAAATGCCGTCTTAATTTTCTCTTGATTTTTTGAAAATTCTAAAACGGTTTGAAAAGAAACTGGGGTTTCCGCTGATTATTTGACGATTCTCCTTCTTTATTTATATTTAAAGATTTTGTCATTTTGGCCAAGAGTAATAAATTAAGGATTTTAGAATGGATGAGCCTGTGACTGACTTGGATTTCAACTACTGTTTGATCTGCTTCCTACTTATTTCATTTTCCCCCAAATTTATATGAAAAAGATGAGTTAGGTTTTCATTATTTGGAACTTTTTGTGTTATCGCTTCGTATCTTTTAGCTGCCGTAATTTTAGCTTCATAAAATTTGGTTACTAATCTGAAAGTGATGTTTGGAAAAAGAGCTAACAATGATCTAACTTGAGAAAGTATAATATAGATGTGATGTTCTATATTTACAATTCAACAAACACGTTTTGTAGAGAAAAAGTTATCACAAACCTGCCTAGAAACACTGATTTCTCTTGTCCAAATGTTTCTGGAGCTTCCATACATCGAAGTCGAATTTAATTTACAAAGATGTAGCAGTTAAATCAGTTGTTATTGAATTTGCACAGTTTTTATCATACAATATGTATGATGACCACACTGAACAATGGTTGCACAACTATTATACATAATTGATTAGATAAAAAATATATCGGTGATAGGCAGATTGTTGTATTTGCTCTAAATAGCTACAAAATTTTAAAGAAGAATATTTTTACCCTGTTTGTGTAATTGCAAAGTACACAAATACTTCTGATGACTTTACTGGACAAGGATTCAGCCTGATGTTAGGTGTAATAATAAGATAAAGAAGATGCTGAAATAAACCGTATGCTTTGCTGGATTTACTGGGATGATTTTTCAAATTCCCATAACTCATGTTGGATCTCAAGTTTTCATTTTAGTGCGTGACAGAAATAGATTCACCAGCTGTCATAGAGTCTCTATCTTCTACTTTCGACTTCTTCTATCAAATTTTAAACTTTAATAGGATTAGAAAAAAACTACTGAATGTAGTAAATTGAAAAGGTTTAACTGATATTAAAGAAGATTAGTTGCAGTAAAATATAGTATTTGAAGGCTTAAGCTATTTTGAAAGGAAGTTGCTTCTAAAAGAACATCATTTAATTGAACTTAGGTCGGGGATCTATTGGAATTAACAAGCTGAAAAAGATTTAGTGCACTATCTGCCTAGGTATTTTCAACACGAGTCATAACATGTCCAGTTGTGCACATAGGAAGGCATGATGTGCTCTTACGATAATAGCATAGTCTAATCATCTGCTTTTCCCTCTCTGTTCCAGAGCTCCTTTTAACCTGTCACATTCTTGACCATGTGGTTGTTTGTTTATTTGCTTCTGTATTTAAGTGAGCACCTAATAAAGTTATCTCAATTTATTTTGCAGTATGTTCAAATGCTACATAACCTATTCCATGGTAAACGTTACAGCAGGTAAGGCTAAAATTGTGCCATATTTCTACTTTAAAGATTCTCTATAGTAGTTTTCTTATCTTTGTTGGAAGTAACAACCCGTTATCATTTGTGTGTCCATTTAGCTCTTTTATATTTATCTCCACTCGCTTAATACATGCATTTTTTAAATACCCTAATAATATTACCAATCAGTTCTAAAGATTCTTTTGAGTCAAATGTCCATAGTCACTCTTAGTTATCTTAAAGAAATTAGTTTTGCCATGATAGTTCATTAGGACTATACTGAACCGCAAAACCCCAAACAAAACCCCAATTTTCTGTTACAATGAAGAAGCAGAAGCCAAAGGAATTCTGAGCGAAGATCAGCGGTGACCATCAACCATGTGATTATGTCAATTTAGCAACTAATGAACTAAAAAAATCCAAGCGAAACACCAATTCTAACTTTTTCTTTTTCAAACAAGTGATCTCTAACTAAATCATTACTGCGGCAATTTGTGTACTATTTGTATGCCTAAAGAGACTGATTTGCACCATAATTCGTTTTCTAATATCTTTCTTATACAAATGAATATTGTCACCCATGCTGAAAAAGCTGCACATCCTATCTCGAAGAAAGCTGATAAAGAGCTCAAACTCTTGTCGTGTATCTTCCTTTACTTTGCTTTTGATGTACTTCTGTTTTAATTGCAAACGTATAGCAGTCTCAGTCAACTATGTTACCTATTGAACTTTTTATCAATGCATCTGAGATGTTTAGATGGATTACTCCGGAAGCTCTTTAAGTCTTTCTTACAAATAGTTATCGCGTATTCATCATTAAATGATACATTTTTTAGTTTAATTTTTAACCATCTAGCTGAATAATATATTACGTATGCTGCAATTGAAATGAAATACACTAAAAAGCAAAATGTTGGCTTTGCTTCAAAAACAAAAGGTTGCCTATCAATGGTGGATTATACAGCAGAGATCAATATAAATACTATCTTGCAATATTTGACATTCTTTAATATGCCTTCAGGTACCTTGGGAAACAAACTTTTAGGATCAAAACAAGTATGCTATTAATATCGTATCTTCATGGACTCAAAGGAGTAAATCTGCCACTCCTAATCAAAGGTATTGAAAATCGAGTACTCAATATTATATTTTAAAATTTCAAATTGCCACAAACAATTGTATATTTGACAATACCTTATGGTGGTTATTTGTCATTGAAAGTACTATAAAACCTCTTTTATGTTATCTGTTGCTTGCTTATGCTTCTGGTATAATAAGAACGATTATTGAGCTGGGTACTGTAGGTGATACTCAAAAGAGAAAGACAGGTTGCTTTACTTGAAGATACACATTTTCTATATTTTTGGGTATTGCATCAAAAATACCTGGTTGTAGCTACTGATGGTTGACTAGATAGCAGTGGCGTTGTAGATTCTTTTTATATCCTCTTTCGCATTTGGTATGGTGTATCGAAAAGCCTATTGGTTATGATAGTCCAGTTTCTTATTTATAGATGGAGCCATTCCATTGGCATCAGAACACTTAGAAAAAAACAAAGCAAGATGCTAATATGTTGGGCCCGTGCGATAGCACGGGCAATCTTTATCTAGTTAAGTTACGATAGTGTTGCACCCAGCAGTATTATATTACGGTGATGTTACGCTTCGCAGTATTAAGTTACGACAGTGTTGCACCCAGCAGTATTACATTACAGTGATGTTACGCTTCGCAGTATTAAGTTACGACGATGTTGCACCCTGAAGTATTGTACGTGGAATCTATCGTAAGGTAATTGACATCAGTCCAAGTAAAAGATTATTTGGAGATTATAAGAATTATGCTATTTCACAAGTGATTAATAAATTCGTGAAGGTGAGAGGGGAAGAAAGTCGAAGAAAATGAATTTCGTTGAAGTTTGGCATTTTGAGATAAAATACGGCCCGAGCTAAAATACCCGGTATTTATGAACTAGTACCATACAAGGAACCCCATAGCCATAATAGTAAGGTGTATAAGGTGTGTTAAAAGAGAGTAGTATTTTAAATAACTCGAGAAATTTTTTAAATTTTGCGGGTACTTAATTAATTACCGGGTGACGGGACGTTACCCAGTTAATTAATAAGTGGTTAAAGATTAATAATCTTCCCCACCCTTCCACGTGGCATAAAGCCACAATAGGCAAAAGATGACTCTTAAGTCACCTTGCCAGATGGCTATTATACCATGAATTAAGTCTTATCAAGACTTTGGATAAGACTAGAATTCTTTGTAAAAAAAACCAAACCAATCTGCTTTTGGCTTAAAATTAAAAAGCCAAGAACGTTAAGTAGAGGCATTCATTTCAAACGAAATTACTTCTTGGAAATTCTCTGTGAAAAAAGCTCAACACAAATCTGCCAAGAACGTTGAAAGCAGAAGCGTTTTCATTTCAAAACAAAGCAAGATTTCGTTTAATCCGGTTTTTTTAGTTTCTAAGTTCAATCCACAAAGGTTTCCAACGGAGTATTATACGAAGTTTTTCCTACTTTAGCTATGTTAAAGCTAAGCTTTTCCTTCATTTTAGCATGATATCGTAATTACACAAGTTTGATAACGAGGCATAAAGAAAAATTGGTATCCCGGAGTTTACGTATATTTTGCTAGTTTCGCAAATTACATGTATTTTTCTAGTTTTGTAAGTTACAATATTCTTCTTATCGGGATTGCATATTCAGTTGAGTATTCCCTTCTTCCGGTCAAAAGAGTAGAGAGTACACATATATACAGTATTAAAAGTATTTTCATTACCATCGAGCTATAATCGATGGGCAGGCCTCTATTGGGCAACCTCTGCTCAGATGGTAAGTTATATACCGATCTTACTATGGCCGAGCGCCTATGAGCGAGCCTAGTTGGTCGAGATACAGAGCCTAGTATGGCCGAGCGCCTATGAGCGAGCCTACTACGGCAGAGCAGTTTTATATATATATATATATATATATACCGAGCCTTATAGGGCAAGACAACTATTTTACTTACTATATTGAGAGAACTAAGTCAGTATCAGCAGGTAAGCATATGTTCAGATTATCTTTGACTTCCAGCTACTTGTAGTTATTATATTATCAGTTCAGTTTCAGCTTTGAGTATATTGTCTTACATACTAGGTACATTATTTCGTACTGACGTCCCTTTTCTGGGGGCGCTGAATTTCATGCATGCAGGTTCAGACAGACAGACGAGTATGCCTTCTCATTAAGTGTTGTCCGAGTTTAGCTTGATCGGTAAGCTCCATGCCTTTCGGAGTTTCCGGGTCTAGAGCCTTATGTACATTTTATATATATGTATATATGTTATGAGTAGGTCGGAGAGCTGTTCCAATCACAGTATATCTACCAAGTAGAGGCTTGTAGACATATCCTGTCAGTTAGTGTAGTATGTGTCGCGCCCCCTTTTTCCCTCCGCGGAGAGGAGTCCGGGTTTCGACATTCATGGAGGTGTAATGACTCATTTCCTTTTGGGAATTAGGTATTACGTTTTGAAGAGTCGCCACCTAACGATTTTAAAGGTGCGTTAGGGCACCTACAAGGTTCATCTACAATCACATTTAATAACCAGAGATAGGGTAAGGGCTTGAAATTATCCTAAGGGGAAGGTGTAGGCGCCCCTCAGGATCCACTAGTGTAGTTCCCGGCCAGACAATTTTTATGAATTTGTGCAATTAGAAAGTAGATAAGTACGGATCACATAGCAGGGGATTTAAGTAGAAATACACAAGCATTTGAAAAAAAAGCGATTAATAAAAGCAAGGTTTTGAAAAGAGTTAATTTAAGCATGCTTATGAATATAGAGGGGTCCTAGGTTTGTTTGTAATATGGATCACATCAGTACAATGCCCGGTAATCACTCCTTAGAAAGGGGCTACTCGTGGCATTAGCGCACCGGTCATCATATCCATATCTACCCTTTCCCACCCGTGAAGGTAATTAGAGCGAGGGTTGGTCTCGATTCTTATTGCATGCTGTTACCCGTCCCTTCCTATCAGTCCCGGAGGTTAGGACTCCTATCCTATAAGAAGGAGGTTCTGGCAGACCCTCAGGTTTAAAGCCAAAATACTAAGGCGACATACAAAACAGGTAGGACTGCATTTAAGGGGGAAAACACAGAAAATAAATAGAAGGTTCAGAGACACCTCCCCAGATAATGCATATAGACAACATGAATTATACACAATTAAGGTCTGAATTTAAAATCCTAAAGCAGGGTGTTTGAGTGATAACATCAGAACCAGATTCAACACATGACTCAAAAAAGAAGTCCGAATTAGGTTTGCTTACTGATTTTATCAGTTGATAATTAGACAAAGGCAGTTCCAGTTTTATTAAGGGTATTACCTAAGGCTTGCCTAGGCATAGAAGCAATATGCAGCAGTTATTCGGAATTTTTGAGACAGTTGGGGATTATTTTACCCTAAGAGCATGCTGTTCTAGTTGTAGAGATTGTTGCAAAAACATTACAGTATGAAAATTATTACTTTACTACCTTTCCATGAGTTGATAATTAACTAGACGTTTTTAAGCAAAATGCAAACAGGATCCTAGAACATGGTATCTAATATGCAAATTGCAGGATTGTGGAAAAACAGAATCCCTAAAGAATGATTTCTAAATGTACATAAGAGTTGCAGGATTTTTGAAAGAACAACCTTTTATACCAGTATTGTTATTGTCCTGGGGCAGGATTTCTAAGTGATAGACATAAAGCATGGACTAATGAATGAAATGCTGAGGCAAGAACAAAGGTCCTAAGAGCATGATTTCTAATGCATGCATGAACCCTAGCATGGTTTCTATTGCGCAATTTAGGAATATAAACCCAATAACATGTTTTCTACCCTTTAACAACTATATCACACATATTTCCCATCCCTTTTCACTAGCTACCCCAGCACTTGTTTACAAATTATTATATACCATGTGATTGAATTACATAAACAGAAATGAAAAATTAGAAGTTACAACTATAGGAAGCCTGATTCTGACTTCCTCTCTGAGTTACGTAATAAACCACCTCAAATGCTAACATTGTTCCAGCTCTCCCTCATATCTAGGTGTGTCAGAGTTCCCTAAGGACCTCAAGGGATCCCGGGCAGTGCTCACACCTAGATTTCATGGCTAAGATAGAGTAAGTGCAGTGCGGAAAAGGCCAGCTTTCATGCGTCCAAGTTTAGAGGGAGCTCAAGGGTCCCAAAGCAAGACTCACACAAAAGGGGCAGAACCTAATAACCTAAGAGTATAGTGAAAGTGCTTGACATAGACTCAAAGGAGTAGAGTTGGAAAACAATCTTGAAAACAGCATGTTTGAAATAAGTTTATAAAGAAAAACAACAGAAGGATTGCTTAGTGGAAACAATTTTTGAAAGGGGAAAGGGGGTAGGAGCAACAACAACATACACAGAACAAGTTCGAAGAGCAGTACAGCCTCAGGAGTTTCAACTAGGGAAATAGGGGTTGGGGACACAGAGAGTCCAAATTAAACACATAATTAGTCATGAATCAAGTACACTAGGAGACATGATCGTTGAAGGACATTAACAGGAACAAGTAAATATACTAATTACATTTGAACCAAAAAGAGGGCAGAATTTTTAGCATGCTGAGTAAAGCAGTAAACAAAAGTGCAACAGCATGAGTCATTAAGTCATTGCAAAAAGAGGCGGTGATTGACAACAACGGAACACATAGGTTTGTGTTTCAGAATTTAAACTAGGGACATACCAGTGGAAGAAGCAAAGTGCAGGAAAAGAAAACTAAAGCAATCAGAATTCCACAGTCTAGCCTTGGCTTTTAGCCGGCTAGACAAGGCAGTAGCACAAGTAGTAAAGAAAGAAAAGAAAATTTAAATGTGTAAGTGTGTGTTTTAGAACTCAGTTGTTCGTGTATATTAATGAAAACATTAGGGTATTTATAGCCTTAAAAACGAGTAGGGAAATAAGGTAACAAGTAAAAGTTTAACACATATATGGAAATAATCATAATCAGAATCAATTAATACAAGTACTTCTATTTAATTAGGGAATTACTGCTTAACGGGTACAAACAGGAGTAATTAAGGAAAGAAAATCAATTTGAGAAAGATTGATTTCTGACCATATAGGGGATAGTAAAAGTATAGAGTAAATAATTGAGTCTAAGTACAAAATATACCTAATTTTTGGGAAAGGATTCAACAGTGGTAAAACATCACAGCAAAGGAAGAGTATCAATCAATTTAAACAAAACGAGTGAAACCAGGGTTTTATAAGAAAATATTTGCAATCACTTGTGACTTGAGGAAATCAGGATCAATCAAGAAAGAATCATGATTCTGCAATTCAGCATATAAATAGAAAAGAATGAATAGGCGTATCAGACTTGCAGGGTCAAGCATATTGACAAACAGGAGCAAACTAGATGAACATAA